TTCTCTCAAGCCATCTTCTCTTCAAGCCAGGGCTAGCTACACATTCCCTCCAGCCACAGCTAACAGCTCTGCCAAGCAAATCTTGCCTACTTCCAACCACCTCCCACTCTGCTGCAGGATAACGATTTCACCTTTCCACCCTTCAATGGCTCCCATCAAAGTGAGAACACAATCTAACAAAATCTGGGGCCTGCCCTTTCCTCGTGGCCCACCATTCCCCAGCAAGAAAGAGAAAGAGTGCTATCTGTTAAGGACCTCATAAAAGCTAGTCCTGTATCTGAAGTATTGCCATTTCCTCCCACTGGCCTATTCCTACTCCTGTTTCAAAGCAGTGCAAAGCCACCTCCTCCAAGAAGGCTTTCTGATTCCCTCAGACTAAGATGAGCCTCTTCTGGGCTCCCCGGCACTTATAACACTTATATAAGCATCAGGTTCTCAAATCAGCCAACCTGTCCTTGGGGGACCTCTTACAAATTTATGCTCCCTCTACAGAGGCTTTAGGCCATTCAGAAGTTGGAAGCAAAATGGCCCAAAGACCCAGAGAAGTAGCTCTGTTACTTGGGGTAGTGCTGCAGATTCAGTCACACAGTATTGGAAGAGTGGCCATGTGCCCAGCAGCAGGGCAGAGTAGGGAAAAAACCAGGCGCTTAACTGCCACCTAGGAATCCACACTAGAAATGGGTACGACAACACTTCTAAGGGGGCCATCTATGGTGGTGCAGGAATGGATGACCAGTACAGCAAAAAACACCCTAAGTAAGTTGGCAGCAGGAAGCCTGGGCTCCAGTCCAACTGCCCCACATCTGAAGGACCTTGGTCCCTGCAGTTCTTATCTGAGAAATGGGGTTAGCTCTGCTTCACCATACAAAGCACAGACATGAAGCCAACTCTGAAAAGACAAAACTTTCAAAAGTTCAAAAAGTGGCATGTGTAATTAAAGGTCGTGCTGGAGGCTGGGGACCAGCTGACAATGCTGTGATCAGGAAGCGAAGAAGCTGCAACCACCAGATCCCTCGCCTGCTCCCCCTATCACAGGTGGCACAGCACTACTCACAGCTGGAGGAGAAAGATGGGGCATCCAGACTCCCTCCCACCCACTTCTCAGTGCCAGCAATTGCCCCCACGGCCTTTCTTTCTGGGACCTATCTTCCCCACTGGACTGGGAATTCCTTGGGTCTGACATACAGCAGATGCTCAGGGAACTCAAGTGACTAATGTGTGAGCTAATGAGGGATGAAGGCCTGACCGTACCCCAGGGCTCACGTGCTCATCAGGAGCAGCAGCCCCTCTGCTCACCCCTTCTTAGAATGCTCCTGGTCCCCTGGACTCTGCAGCCAGCTGAGCCACACTTACCATATCCCAATCCTGAGCCTCTAGACCTGTGCCCCCGACACCCTACACCTGCAACCCCAAACCAAGGCCCAGTGACCAGAATCACACAGCCCTCCTTGGTCCACTCAGCAGTCCTACTGACCCTAGAGGCTGATGCCTCTGAAAGGCAGGAAACCAATGACAGACAAGTGGCTAATGCGCTGCAGAGGCAGAAAGCCTTCTTTTGCCACATGTGAGAAGCATTTTAGCTTTCCTCTCTCTCCTCTGAGGGTTTCTCCCACTTCCTCTCTGACCTTTGACCCTCCTCTGGTTCTCTGACCCAAGTTCTCACCTCACCTAGACATAAAACAGTTCGCAGCTTCACTGCCAGTCTGCTCCCCCACCGCCTGTCAGAAGAACTGGGTGGACCTCCATGTTTAGCAAGCTCCACTCCAGTCCCCCTGCCTTGCATGCAAGGCTCTCACCCCCCTCCTGCCAGCACATACTGCTCTCCCCAACTTTGTTCCCTACTCCCTCTTCCTTGTCAGTGCTGTCCCCCAAACTCCCGGCTTATGGGGCCACCCTGATTGTCCAAGGCCCCATGATGGAGGCAGCTTCAGGGGTGGTACCAGAGAAAGCTCAAGACTTCACAGCCTCCACCATCCTGCCTGGGGTAGAGCAAGGAGGAGGCTGGGATGTGAACACCTCACCCACTGCTAAACTGGGCCCCATTCCCATTCCTCCTGATGGGAGGTGGATGGATGCTCACCTGACACGGGGCTGTAGCTCCTCAGCTGGTCGTGTCTCCAAGGGCAGAAGCACAAGCGGGGAGGCTGGGGTGGCTGCAGCGTGGTCTTCCCCTTCAGGGGCAGGGGAGCCTCCAGGGAGGGAGGGCTCAAAGGGGTGGGGGGGTGAGGCTGGCTCCCCGGGGGGTGGGGAGGTAGAGGTCAGGGGCCAGGCTCCAGGCAAGGGAGAGCACAGAAGGCCTGGACCCACATGGCGGTGACTGGCCCAGGGCGGGAGAGGGGGCGGAGGGAAGGCAGGTTCTGGGGGCGTGGGCAGCTCTTCCGGACCAGAGTGGATAGAAGATTCCCTGGACCCTGGTGGGGATGTAGATGGGAGGCTAGGGGGATCTCGGCTCTCCTGAGACAAGAAGGGTCTCAAGGCATCCTCTGAGGCCCACAGATCAGCCTGCTGGGGGGTGACTGACAAAGGCCCAAGCCTCTCTCCGACTGGCCCTAGACTCTGGGCCTCAGAGCCTTCTCCCCTGTCTAGAGTCCCTGCAATCTGCTGACTGGGCAGTGCCAGGCTTAATGAATTACAGGGTATGGGGACATGACCCTCAGGGCACCTGATGGGCACAGACGGGCAGGCCCCAGACCTAGAGGGGCTGGGATCCTCTACTAGCTCCTCCAGACCTGGCTCACCTAGCAGGGTCCCAGAAGACCGTCTGTCAGACTCCTCTGAGTCAGGCTTCCTGCCCTCCCCCTTGGTCTCCAATGGACCAACAGTGAGTGCATCTGGGGTAGAGTTTTCTCCTCCTGCCCCTGCCCCCCAGCTACTCAATCCCCCTGCAGCCTTCTCTTGTTCCTCCTCCTCCTCCTCCACTTGAGAATTTGAGGGTGTGAAGAGGCGGGGTGGCTTGGGAGGTGGTGTGCTGGGCCTCAGCCCCTCCTCCTGCTCCTGCTGGGGTTTAGGCTCTGGCTCCGGCTCTGGCTCCTCTGGCTCCGGCTCCAGAGGGGGAGGCCCCTTGCTTCCCTTGAGGATCACAGTTTCTGGTGACTCTGCTTGCACCCGGGGAGGAGAGAGCACATCAGACTCTCCTTGCAGGTCAGTTGAGGCCATCTCAGTTGCAGGAGAAATGGTGACCACATCCCAAGGCCAGGAATCATCTGTATTGAGCTCATGGAAAAGCTGATTTTCACCTCTGGGGGCCTCCTCATCCTGGCCCTCAGGAGTGTCATCTGAACCTGGTAGCCTCTCCCACACACTGATCACTTCTGGAGAGCTGAAAAGAGATGTCCCACTGTCTGCTGGACTCTGTCCAGCTCCCACTTCTGGGTCCGGCGGCTCCCTGTCTGGTGCTGAGGTCGAGGCTCTCAGTTTCGGCTGGGCTGATGAAGAGGGCAGGCCAGGCCCAGCTGACCCAAGGGGCCCTGGGTCAGATGCACTTGTGTTCTGCTGGTCCAGTTCAGAGTCCAGAGGAGCCCCAGGCTCCAGCCACATGCTGCTCCCACCTCTTCCTCCCCCAGGGTCTCCCTGGGGCTCAGCTGCCTTCACTGTCAAGGCCCTGGGGCCTGGGGCCTGCAGCCCAGCCGCCTCCAGCCCCACTCCTTCAGGGGCCAGGATCTCACTCCTGGCCTCTGGATGCAGCCTGCCAGCAGCAAAGATGTTGAAGGTGTCGTCCCACTCAGGCAGGGCTTTCCCAAGGGAGGCCAGGGGGGCGGGGCTGGCCCTCGAGGCACTGGGGAGAGAGGGAGCAGGTGAAGGAGAGTTTAGTGCTAAGTCGGCTATGAGCTCCTCGAAGAAGGGGTTGCTCTGCAAGGAGGTGAGGAACGGGTTGGTGACACCCAAGAATCCAGATGGGGTGGCTTTGGGGGTGATGGTGGCGGTGGCAGCAGCAGGGGAGGCGGCTGCAAAAAGGTTAGTGCTTAGCATGGGAGCAGCGGTGGGAGCAGGAGTGGGGGGGGCCGGAGCCCAGGGGGAGCAGGGGAAGTGGTGAGGAGCAGCTGGGTCAGGTTCTACCTGAGGAGACACGTCCAGGCTGTGGAGGGAGACAAAACCATGAGCCTCCTGGTTAATGCTGAGACTGGAAAAGGCCCTGCCGAGTACCACGCCCCCACCCCTGCCTTCAAGACCAGGTGCCACGGCACTACTTGGGCCAGGGGCCAGAAAGAAGATCCAACGTATGACTTTACTAGGCACCACCCAAGGAGAAGGGTGCTGGGCACAACTAACTTAATCCTCATACCGACCCCCATCTTACAGCAGGATCCAAACCTAAACCAAGTGTTCCCTCCTCTGTCCCATGCTGAAGAGTCTTTATCAAATTTACACTTAACTCTTTGTCAAATTTATACTCCAAAAACATCTGAAAGTACCTGGCATCTCTTTTAGGACTGAGAGCAAAGACACTAGCCAGCTTGGAGGGGAGAGAGAACAGAATAAGGCCAGGCCTGGGTATTTGGCTGGACAGGACCGGCACTAAGAGAACCAAGCAGGACACCTAGAATTTGGGCTCCTGAAACAAACTGGGCTGCACTGATTCCCTGAAGAAGCAGATAAGGATGGACTGTCATCCAGCATGACAAGGTGATCATCAAAGAGGAAAGCCCATCTCATTTTTTTGAGGGGCAACCTAATCCACCAGGGAAGACAGGCTCCTGCCGAGGACACCTCCTGTTGGGTATCCACACAGCCTAGCGCCTGCCCATGGTGCCCCCTCACCTCACCTCCCTTGTGGATCAGCCCTGGGAAATAAAGAATGGAGGCCAGAAAAACTGTAGGAGGAAAGCAGACCAAATACTAAGGTTTCCTGGAGTCTAACAGGAGTTACAGCTAAACCCACAGTCAGACCTACACCTGGTGGCCTCACCACTGCTCTAGCAGTCTCACTCCTCGTGGCTGGCATCTGGCCCCCTCTCCAAGCTCCCAAGGCCCACTCCTAGAGCTCTGCCTGCCTAGGTGGAAACATCAGAGGGAAAACTCCACGCCCATCTTCTCCATTCAGTTTCTTGTACAAGAAATGTGGGTGGTAAGCCCTGAGGCGGCAGAAGCCAGGCCTCACCAGATGGTCCATAAGAAATGTAGGCTGGGGGAACAGGGCATCAGTGGAAAGAGGCTGAGCTGTCTGGAGCTTGCCAGGGTCCACACAGGACAGGCCTGCACACAGAATCAGGCAGGCAAATGGGAAGGAGTTCAGTTCAACCAGAGGCAAAGGTGGATCCCAGAGACAGGAGTAAGGAGGGCGGGTCACAGCCAGGTCTGGGCCACCTCTCTCCCAGTTCCCTTTGTGATGAGTGGCCAGAGTGACCTGGGAATGAGGGCCTCATTAACCCTGCAGCCTCAGCCTGGCCCCCCACTCACCCAGGAAGTTTCACAGGAGCCTGGTGGCAGTCACCACTGCAAGAGGGGAGCACAGGGAGGCCAAGCCAGGCTCAGCAGCCTCCCTCCCCACCATGGCTCTCCAGAGACGAACATGAACTCGTTGGTATGGAATCCACTAAGGGCTCTCCCCAGAGAACGGGGCTCTGGGTACAAGGCGCCAGGCACAGCAGGCTTCCCAGAGCAGGGGTGCCTGAGAGCATTCTGTACATCCTGATCTCCAGAACACTCTCTCCTTCATCTGTCCTCTCCCTATCAACATCAAGGGCACGTTCTGAAGGATCTCACTTCAAAACATCCTCTCCCTGCCAGTACTCCTGGCACAGGTCAGAAGCACATTCCCTTGTGTGGTCCAACTCTGTAGGCTGGAGTCTGAGACCAGAGAAAATTTTTCTAAGTCCTGGAACCCACTGTACTGGCCACCCCTAAGCAGTGGGGACAAAATTATGCTGACTTATCTTCTCATTTAGAGCCAAATGTTGGGGTGAGAAATCAGAAGACCAAATAACTCTGCCCCTTTAATCTGGGGGATAAAATGTTAGGACACACAGGAACTTGGGATGATAGGCTGGAACCTGCGACTTAATGTAAATCACCTATTCACTTAAGTAAATAGAAGGCCTTTTATTTATTTATTTATTTTGCAGTACTGGGGCTAGAACCCAGAACTTCAGGCAGCAAGCATTCTACCACTGAACCCCACCCTCGTGACCTGCCACTGACAAACACCAAAACCACACCAAACCTCCCACCACCTCTGTAGCTAGGGGGCAGCTTTCACTAGTAGCGACTCTTCCTTAGGCTGAGATGAGTTCTGTGTCCTTGTCCCATGCATTATTCCCCAAACAAAATGGATCTGTATAGGCCTTCCACCAAGCAGTCCCACATGGACCAAAGCCAGCCTTCAAGGCACACCCAGCCGCAGCCAGTGTGCACTTCCGCTATCCCTCCTCAGGCATAGCCTCCTGGCGTCCTCCTGAGATGTGCCCCAGTGTCTAGGAAACCTTACCAGAAAGCTAGGCACACATTCTCCCATCATCTGTCACAATAAGGTGATAGACAGGACCCTTGTAAGTTACACTAGGAAGACTCCATCATTTCTTCCAAATGAAAATACTTTCAATATAATAACTATGCCAGGAAAATAGACACAAACTGGACAGAAGGCCTGACCAACTCTTAAGTAACTGGGCACATATCACAGTTTTCATTTACACCACCCAGGACACAGCCAGAAATATCGTGCCCCTCCAGCTATCATAGCACATCCCAGGCCCACAGGGACCTGCTGTCCCCCATATCTGGGGAGGGGCTGAGGAAAGGCAGAGACGCCAAAGGCCACTGTAATGACTCAACTGCCCCTCTGTTGCACCAAACTTATGTCCCCACTTTTTTTCCGGGGGGTGGGGGGGTATTTGCATTTGATTCCTTCCAGTGCTCAAAGTTCTAGGGTTAGCCTGATTGGGGGTGGGGGGCGGATGAGGAAAACAAGGAACAGGCAGAAAAACAATTTACACTGGCACTGACAGGTTAACATGAGTGGCTGCTGTCTGCCCTCAAGCACACACTAAATTGCTCAGCACAAATGACTTACAGCAGGGTCAGAGAACACTGATAAATCCTACGACCCAGATGGGAGTCGGTCTCAACTACCTCTCACTGACCCTCCTCCACACAAGCAGGGGCCCAGAGTAACAGCCCCAGACCAGCAGACTAGGGTCATGTCAGAAGGACCTTCTCTGCTCCTCCAGCCTCCATTCCTTCTCTACCAACCTGTGTTTGGCAACAACACTGCAAGCGGACATTCAGCTTCGGGCCGCTCCATAGGGCACTGATGCCACATGGAAGCACTAGAGGGCGCCATTGCCCTTGCTAGAGAGGAACACCCAGAAATCTACAATAGCCCCAAGGGCAGAAGCACCCCAAACGCTAGGCCTACAGACAGGCTCCTCATGTCCCAGCTGGAGATCCTGCAGCTGCATTCAGCTACTACAGTTCTGGGTCTAGCCTACAGCCTGTGGTGCTGTGAGCTGTCCCACCTTTCACTGTCTCCTCAGAAGCCCTAAGCAACCATTCCAAGTCAGAGACAAAAATCATTTCTTACAGGCCAGGTTTCCCTTCCCTGTAAGGCATATGAGGCAGGGTGCTGCTCCAGGCCAGGCATTTAACCAGAATAGTTCCTCCCACCCTACCTGGATGTACCACCAGGGACTACCCTGTAGCTGCTACCTGCTAATGATCCAGGGAAGACAGGTATCCCTGGGAACCCTCCAGCCTACTGGGAACAAGGCTCATGATTCAACTGTGAGCAGAACCTCAGCTTCCTTACATCCATTAGCGACCCAAATTCTCCAGATTCTGAAAGGCCATTAAAAGACATGGGGACACAAAAGGAAAATGGAGACTGGAGGGAGCCCAGAAGATAACAACCGCCCAATATCATTCACAGTCAGTCTGCAAGAGTCTGAGCCCAAAGCTTGAGTTCTCACCTACAAACAATCTCACAGAGATTCTCACAGAATATCCAAAGAGCCCTGAAAAAGATCCAGATCCCCTACAGACAATAGCACTGATCCTAAAGTTTGTGCCCTTCTGCCCTATGCCCCCAGCTCCTCCCAGCAAATGCCCTGCCCACCACCTCCGGTACCTCTGGTTGTTATAGGACCACCAGGCTAAGTCTGGCAACCTGGCAAAGACCCACCCAATTCTTCCCAAGCGTCCCCTAGGCTACAGATGGCCAGCAGTCTCCTAGGCATCGGTGGGTAGGGGCTGGGAAGAAGGTACAGAACCAGCTGTACTAAGCAGGGGAGGCAAAGGGCAGCATCACCCTGAGACTAATCCAGGCCCAACACCCCGTGCATATGAACCTCTAAAGAGGACCACCATCTGGCCTGGCCACAACCCAGGAAGGCCAGGTACCTCACCCCTCCTCCTCTCAGCAGACTCAATTTCCAAAGGAAAGAGAAAAAGCAAGACTATAGGATTCCTCTCCCCTCTGCTGAAGAACAGATGCAGGGTCCTCCCTCTCCTCTATCTCTTAACCCTTCACCACTGGCCCAGTCTTCCCACGTGTCCCTACACCCATCCAGTGGGGAGGGCAAGCTTGCTGAGGGACTGAAACAACTAGCCTTCCACACTGGCTAGGGCTGCTACTTATGCTGCCATCCAGGCAGGTCCAGGGCCTTGGGAAGGGGAACACAGGCTTCTATAACCTACATCTGAAGCTCCTCCCTGGACCTGCCAGACAATGCAGCAGCCTCCCCTGGCTCAAGGCAAGGGGGCCACAAAGGGGCCAGGGTAGAGGTCAGGGTTCTGCCTGGGGGCCAAGCTGTGGAACTTGTCACATTCAAAAGACAGTAACTGTGATCAGCACTCCCGACAGTGCTATACTTCAAGACCACCAGACACTAGAAAGGGCCTGAGTCCAGGAGGCGGGGGCTGGGGGACTATATATTTCAGGGAAGCTACCACGGCCTGTTGCCAGGCTAGGAAACAACTGGGAGTAAGGAGAAGGAAAAGCAACAATTGTTTGACCCCTATTCCTTAGCAGGAAGAGGTCCCAGAGCCAGCAGGGCAGCTGAAGTGAAGTCATCTAGCTTCAGCAAAGGTGAGGTATCCCCTGTTCCCACCTCACTACTTGCTAAGGCTTTCTCACCTTGAGATTAACGGGTAAGAGGTGGAGAGGTAAGGAAGCCAAGAATCTATTAAAGATAACCCCTTCTTGATTTTCTCCTATCTGTCCCTCCCTCAGGAACTGGGCATGCTAACTCAGGCAGCAGGGACAAAGGACAACCTCCACTGACAGGACCCTCAGGAGACTGTGATCTTGCAACTTACCTGTATCCACGTGCACAGAATGAGCCTTAGCTTAAGGAAACAGGGTACCCCACTTAACCATGCGAAGCCAGCAGCCTGCCCGAGGGTCACGTTTGCTCCCTGGTCCTGCCCCAGGTCCCAGGCAGCAAACACCTCAGCATCCTCCCCAAGGAGCAAAGCTAGTCTTGCTAAGGACGTACCTGGGTTTATGGGTTGGTTCCTTGGCTTCTCTCAGGCCAAACCAGCTACTCTTGGTCTTTTCCTCCCCACTGGATGAGTGGTGGGGGGAGGCCCCCAGGGCAGGACCTCCCTTTTCCCCCACAGAGCTGCGGCGTCCCAGCTCGCTCCGACTCAGCCCCTGGTGGTGGTGGAAGAGGCCCATCCGGGGCTTCCGCTCTTCCTTTCGAGCTCCCTCCTTCTCTACCACAGCCTCAGAGGAGGCCACCATCGGTGTGGCAACCTGGACCGGCTTTCCTTCTGGATGCCGGACCCCTTCCATGTCTCCAGAATGGCTAGCCCCAGTGGCCAATACTTTGGCTTGAGTGCCCAAGTCCTCTTGTCCAGGCGCCACCTCCGAGCTGCTGGTGCCACGGCTGCCTCTGCCCCAGGAGTCCTCCGAGGACGGAGGCACCTCCTCAGAGGGCCGGGAAGAGACACCAGGCAGGGAGCTGGAGGGTGGGAATGGGCCTGAGATGGAACTGCGGTGCCGCAAGGGGGCCTGGGGCTCCTCGTTGTAGATGTGGCTCCCATTGACACAGAGGGAAGAGCGGGAGGCAGCATCAAGGTGGCCCTGGAGGTCGAGAAGGGCCCGGGGAGGAGCCACACGCATCTGGCTAGCCTCATCGCTGTAGGTCCTCTTGTGAGAGAGCAGCTTGGGAGACTGTGTGGAATCCCTGCCTGAAAAGGAGACATAACTGTAGTTAGCACAGGGAAGGGAGCCCCATTTCCCAGCCCCAGGTCTTCTTTACCAGGGGGAGAGCCTGCCCTCCCCGTCCCTTCCCCAGGGCATGTGACCCCAGCTCCCTCACCCTCAGTGGACAGCCAGCTGCTGCGGCTGGGAGAGCGGGTGAGAAGCTCAGCACCAGGGCCCTGGTAGGCCAGGCTCCCGCTGGCCGAGGACAAGGTGCTGTCTGAGCCCAGCGAGGTATTGGACTGGGTCAGGGATGACTTGCGCAGCTTGTTTCGGAGGAAAAAGCCTTTAGCTTTGCCCATCTTGCCCAGGCTGCCCAGCTCTGGATCCTCGAGGGCACTACTTGGGAGGATGGCAGAGGAAGATTCCAGATCAAACTTCTTCTTGCCCTTCATCTTGTCCTTGAGCTTGCTGAAGGGGGACCGTGGCTTGTCCTTCATGGACAGGTCAAACATGCTGGCGCTCAAGTTGTTGCGAGTGAACTGGATGGTGACTTGGATCTCTCCGCGTTCCTTCTCCTTCTTGCCCGTCTTGGAATGCAGCTTATACCATCTATGAGAATGGGGGAATGGGCACAGCTTTGGTCACAGGCTCAATGCACCTGGCTCCCCCCAGTGCCAGGTACCTCACAGGGCCTCCCCACAGACTCCTGCTCTGACATGCCAGCCCAGGCTGCCAAGCCACACAGCTAAAAACTCCCAAACGTTTCCCATGTGAAGAGAACCACATCCTGAGTGGGGGAAGGTCCTTGGGTGCACTCAAGCAGGGCACTGGTTGCCACGCCATGCCCCTCCCACCAGCACCTTCCCCCCTCTGCTCAGAGACCCATGCTGTCCCATGTCCCTCTGAAACTCTGAGGCCCAGAGGCGTGAGGCTGGATCTGGGAGGGACTGCCATTTATCCAGGCCCACACTTCCTCTGGTTCACATCATCTCCTCTGGCTAGTCCCAGCCAAAGAACTACTCTTAGCTCTCAGAAAAGAACAGCTCACTCAAGAGGCCCAGGGCCAGGAACACGGGAATGCCAGTGCACACACACCCCTCACCCACACACTGACTCACCCCAAGTCCTGCCAGGAACACCTCTGAGAGATGGAGGGGCAGAAAGAACAGCAAGAGGCCTGAAGCAATGGACCCAGGGAGGAGGAGCACTCACTTGCCAAGCCACATGGATGTCATACCTCACTCCCATTCACACCTCATGAGCAGCTCCTGGGGAGCGGACACCACCCATCTACAGCTCGGGAGAGTGACACTGCGGTAAAGTAGGAAGCAGACGGGAGAGGGGAGACTCCAAGTCAGGTTTTCATCCCAGGCAAGCCCAAGTTCTTTCTACTTTCCACTTCTCAGGGAGACCCCAACACACATGACCTTGGTGCAGAGTGAGGGGAGTCTACCCTACTGTAGAAGGGGCTGAGCGTGGGTTGGGAGCTTCTTAGAAAGCTAAACATACTCTTGTCATACAAGGAGTAATTGCATTCCTTGGTATTTACCCTACCAAGGTGAAAACCTATGCCCACAGAAAGACCTGCTCACAAATGTTTATGGCACCTCTAGTGATAAAACTGCCAAAACATGAAAACTGCCAAGATGGCCTTCAGTAGGTGAATAGATAAACAAACTGGTACATCCAGACAATGGAATATTATGCAATGATAAAAAGGAATGAGCTGTTGAGCCATGAAAAAACATGGAAAGATTATTTATTTATTTATTTATTTGGGGGTTTTTTTTGTTTGTTTGTTTTTGTTTTATGGAAGAATTTTAAATGTGTAAGTAAAAGAAGCCAGTTTGAAAAGTCTACATACTTATATGATTCCACTACGACATTCTGGAAAGGCAAAACTACAGAAATAATAAAAAGATTGGTGTTTACCAGCAATTTAGAGGAAGGGAGGAAGGGATGGAGAGAGAGAGCACCGGGGCTTTTTATTTTTAGGGCAGTGGATCAATCCTGAACGACACTAGTGAACACATGTCATTTTACATTTGTCAGACCCCACAGACTGTACCCTACATGAAGAGTGAACCCTGAGGTAAACTGTAGACTCTAGGTAATAACAATGTCCTGATGTTGGCCTATCATTCGTAGCAAGCCTGCTACACTATGGTAAGACATTAATAAGACAGGAAATAATTGGAGACTCTTGGGGTAGATGGGAAGGAAATAATGGGGGCTGTAGGGGTGTATGGGACTCACATACTTTCTACTCATTTTTTTGGTAAACCTAAAACTGTTCTATATTAAAAAAAAATTTCTAATCGGGCTGAGGATGTGGCTCAAGCGGCGGCGCGCTCGCCTGGCATGCGTGTGGCCTGGGTTCGATCCTCAGCACCACATACAAACGAGGTTGTGTCCGCCAAAAACTAAAAAAAAATAAATATTAAAATTCTCTCTCTCTCTCTCTCTCTCTCTCTTTTAAAAAAAACTCTAATCAATTTAAAGAACAGAGAAAGTAAAAATGAACTGTGAAAGAAATAATACAAGAAAGTTTTCCTGAACATGAATATCAGTGCCGGTACAAATGCTCCCCAAGTATGCAGCACAATGAATAAAATAGACCCATGCCCTCAGTGTCACTGAGATCCCTTTTCCCTTTCCTTTCTTTTTGATAAGGCCTCACTATGTGCCCAGGCTGAGCTCAAACTTGAAATCCTCCTGCCTCAGCCTCCCAAATAGCTGGAATTGTAAGTGTGCACCGGTGTGCTCAGCTTTCACTGTGAGATTTCTGAACACCAGGCATGAAAAGGAAATCCTAAAGGCCTCCACCAAGGGGAAATAGGATCATGCGCCAGGAATGAAAAGTGTCCAGTCCTTGCTAGCCACACTGGGCTCTGTATGAAGTACACCTCCAAGTGCCCGACAGAAAGCTTTCCACCTACCTAGAGTTCTAGAGCCAGCCCATCAAGCATGAAGGCAAAATAAGGTCTAGCAACTGTGGTCAGTTTGATCATCAAAGGGCTCGAAGTCCCTTGATGCACACACACTCCTCAGTAGCAGTATGGTAGCCATTCCTCTTTGGGATCCACCTACTATACAGTCCTCAGCCCTCTGGGCTTCTGCAGGACATAGGGGGTTGAGAGCAGAGTCCTTTGTATGAAAAATCCCTACACATCCAAATATCCAGAATTAAGTCATGGCACAGACTTGGTAGTGCTGGCAATTTCTTTGCTGTTGTTTAACACTTTTTTTTAAGGCTGTCCCAAGAGCACTTCCAAACTGCCTCCCTTACGAAGAGTTATTGTGACTGAACCTTCAGGTGCTCATCTTGAGCTACTCTCTGTCCCCTCCTTGGGACACACCTGATGGCCTGCACAGAGTGAGTATGGGCTGCTGGTTTTCCTTCCCAGCTTCTGGGAAGGCCAGGCCAGGCCAGAAAACAGTGGTGCAGCAGGAAAGGTAGAGCTCCATGCTCAAAGAGCATGCGCCTCTTGGGAGTCCAGATACGCAGGGGCAGGAGTGCACGCCAAGAGAGCTGAACTGAAAGACAGCATGTGAGGATGTCTGGGGCAAGTTTAGGAGAAAGACCTACTAGCTGCCTCTGCCTCCTCCTGCCCTCTCAACCCAATGCCAGCCCTTGGCCAGACCCTTAAATCTTTAAAGACCACATTCCAGTCACTTTCCCCAGCTGTGGAATGGGCCACATTTAGCCCAGGAAGACACTGGGAAGTTGAGGCAAAAGGAGTTTATGGACTCCAGTCCCAATTTAGCCAAGGCTCCCTGAGTAACTGGAATCAGTAACAGATATCCTCTGCTGGGGCATGAAGGTCAGGGCACTCAGCCCCAGCTGGTCACATTCCACACAGCCAGAACAGTGGTTACCTCCCAGGTGTGAGGCTGCAGGGAACTATCACTTCCTACATTGGCTATTTCTGTCCTGTTCAAAATTTTTATAAGGAACACCTACTATGGGCCACAGGACAGGCCACTCTGTTCTCCCTCACTCAGGTGAAGGCAGGGGGATCATCAGCCCAGGCTGAGGCTCAGGCCTCTCCCCAAGGATCCTCCGCCCTACCCTGTGTGGTCACTTCACCTTCTCTTCGAATTTCCCTAGGAATTCGGCTTTTTCTCTGACCTGCTATTTAGGGAGGTCAGGAAGGCGAAAAGGTTCTCCTCAGAACAGAGTGAGGATGTCTCTACCCCTCTGCCTCCCAACCTTCCCTCTGCCCACCAGTCCAAGTGGGACTGAAAGGAACCCTGCCAGGCACCTCAGGCTCCCAGAGGACTTGGCCAGAGCAGAAGTGTGACCTCCTCAGGCTGAGGTGGCAAGGCCACACAGCCAAACGCTCCCAGATGAGGCCCACCCCCCACCATGACCGAAGCTCCTGCTTCCTTCTTTGTGGACCAGAAAGCCTCCCAACCTCCCAACCTCCCCCAATATGCAACTACTAGAAGATGGTGGCTCACAGGACAGAGCCCTTGTCTTCAGAGACCCCCAACCTGCCATGTATCAGAGGCACGCACGCACGCCAAGACTTACTGAACTATAAGGTCCAGTCTGGAAATCTATATTTTTTAGAGCAAGGGGCTCCTCAATGACACGTGGGAACCACAGTGGGATGGTCCCTATCTGCTCTACATCATTTCGCAGGTCAGAGTTCAGCATTCCCTCCACCCTGCCAGGCACAGTAGCACCCAGTCCCCTGGAGGCTAGGGAGCTATAAACATTGGAGAGGAGGATGGGCCAGCTGGAGACTATCCTTTCAATGTCCCACCCCCAGCGGACCCAAGAACAAATGAGCTCCAGGCTCCTAACAGTTTATCCCTGAGGCTTCTGCAGGGAATGTGACAACAGGTCCTATGCCATCAAGTTCTCATCCTCTGGGAAGCTCTTAGCTGAGACCCCGCTGGCCTGATCTAATCCCTCCACTTTCTGACCAGGCCAGACACTCTGAACCCAATTCACCCTTCAATCAGATTGGGCAGTACTCTGCTCCATGACCATCCAATTCCCAGGCTCCTGGGGTGTTTCTCCTCAGCTGAACTGTGGTCCCTGTGGACAGCCACTGAGTATCCCCCCTGGGGCACAGCTCCAAAGTAAGGGGAAAAAGCAAGGCAGAACCCATGAGCTCTTAGACCCCCTCAGCAATTCACTCCTCACTGCTCTCTCAGAAGCTGGCTTCCAGCTGCCAATACTTCCCAGTCAGTTCTGTCTTCTCTCGACAGCCTTCCAGGACTCTGGTTCTTGATTCCTAACCCTGAGCACTGTGCCTGGCCTTCAAGACAATTTGCCAGTTCCTTTAACAAACACCACCCTTGTCCCCCAGGACTGGCAACAGGGGATATGGTCCTATGGGACAAGAAACAGCCTCCTGGTTTCTTTGCTGATTTTGCCATTTCTGTTCCTCCCCCATGCCCACTCACCAGAGCTTTCCCCACCTTGCCTGGCTGGGCCATCACAGCCCTGGGAACCACAAATTCCAAGCTGAGGCCTGATACCTTTCTCCCATCCAGGGCTGAGACCCAGCCAAAA